GAAGAAGAAGAAGAAGAAGAAGAAGAAGAAGAAGAAGAAGAAGAAGAAGAAGAAGAAGAAGAAGGAGGAGGAGGAGGAGGAGGAGGAGGAGGAGGAGGAGGAAAAAGGAATTGTTGGGATGAGCGGCCAGTAGGACAGGGCTGTGGCTGGACAGAGGTAAGATGTTCTTACGGCATATGCATTGATCTCAGCCTTTCAGATGACTTCTGCCATGTTGTCTGCCATGGCTTCAGTCGTGTCGGAGGAGTAGCGACTCAGCGAACAGAGGAGAACTGGAGGAGCTTAGAATTGAAACTCGGTTCTGGGGATTGTGCCGAGGCTGAGCGCAGAGTATCCAGAGAAGGAGAGATCACCTTGCATCCAACGCTCAGGGGAGAGGAGGGACTATCGGCGCTCTGAGGATGACGATAAGGAGAGTAGGTGGAGTGTGTCTTACTGGGTCAGGCGATGGAGCGAAACAGGGAGGTCGCTCTATCTCGTTCCCAATTCACGGAGACTGAAGGAGGCGGAGTTGTGATGAGAAGAATGCCTCAGTAATTGTGAGGAGGAAGTGAGTGAGAGGTGGTGGTTTAATAAGTAGTGCCATGCTGTTCAAGCAGAGTGGAGTGAGGAGGTTAGTAGGACAGGGTTGACGTTGTGTTGGCCTACTGAGTATAGCGGTGAGAGTCCGTGGTCGGTAGAGAGGGTGAGCAAGAGTGTGGTGAGGGAAGGGGGAGATTTTTGGGTATGGAGGCCGCGGGGTTCTTTTCAGAACTGCCTGCCTGTCCATCTGAAGTTGCCGTGTAAGTGTGGTGAAGCCGGTTCCTTTGGGAGGTCGTCGATGACGGGAAACCCTCAACACTCTTTCTGTGCAAAAGGGTGTGCAGTGTGCGCACATGTGCGTGTCTATGCAGGCTGACGGGTAGGCTGCACGCTTTCTTTCAGGAGTCGTGGCTGGTTGTGGCTCCAGGTGCTATGGTGGACATGCTGGTCTGCTTGTCCGTCTGAGAAGTTGTTGCCCGATATCTTCAGCACAATTCCTGGAGTCTCAGACGGCATCATTTCGGAGCATGGAAGGACTGGTTAAGGCGACAAAGTCTGGTCCAGTGGTGCTTCAGGATCGTTTTTGTTTTTGTCGAAGCCGATTGGTACCGGATTTTGCCTGAGGGACCGAGAAGGTGTGAATTTTTCAGGGAGGTTTTACTCGGGGTCAGGATGGGCTTGGCGATTCTGGGTCGGGGCTGGTGTAGGGATTTGAACGAAGAGGATATGGGGGTATGCCGGGTGGGAGGTGAAAAAAGAGTTCTGACGTGGGGATCTCATAGGGTAGGTGATTTGCAGCACTGTGTTTGGTACAGGGTTTTATTTTTTCAGAACAGTGTTGAGAGCAAGCGTGGACTGTGTTTGAGGCGGGAGATGTCATGTGCCAGTTGCAGAGGAGGGTTTGTGTTCTT